AGGAGGGTTGAAGAGCTTTGCTCCAGCTGAAGCGTTCTTTCTTTGTAGACAGTGAGATGGGGGCCCAGAGAAGTCCAATGACTTGTCTGGCGTTTACACGGGACGGCGCGCCTGACGCACCCGGATCACGCACTCCTGGCGTCCCATTGCCCCGCTAAAGACGATACAGAGCACAGTTAACTTTTTTCTAAGGCTTGATTAACCTATTTGATCGTTACTTACAACAGAGGCTGACATCCTCCACTTTCTGTGACAAATAACTGTCTTTTGCCCATCGTTCTAAGAAGATGTAGATCCTGTCCTCCCTCGCACGTGACAGGTATGTGACGATATGTATCCAGTGGCTGTGTCTCTTCTCTCACATCGTATTCTAGAGAGCAGATGTACGTGAGAGCTGGAGGTAGCCAGCGGGTACATTTTTGTAGCTCTTCCTGTGGTCGAGGGCGGGAATCGCAGCCCTCATGCAGGTGCCGTGGCAGAAACAGCTTTTCATTTGTTTGGGTTTTTAACGTTTTTTAAATCTTAGGCCAGGGATGTTGGTTCCGCACAGCCCACGCCTCACCCACCACTTCCTGTTGCGCTATGCCTGACCGCCTCACCTATTCCTCTAACTTCCCTGGCTGCCAAAGGCGTGAGCTCGTGAACGCTGGTGCGCGTTCTCCCTTGTCTCCCCTGGTGCTCTTTTGTTTACTGGCTTAACGTTAACTTCGTTCTAAGTTTTAAAAAGGTTTTTAAAATGAAAGTGGTCCTTCACAGTGAATCGTCACCAGTAATCCTGCCTCGGTACCTAGTTGGGTTTCCTCCCACGAATCTTCCAACTCTGCTTTAGAAGTTAAAACCCGAGATCTGAAAAATTGTAAAAAAGAGCTCCGTGCCCATGCGGGGTGGGTCTGAGCAGAGGAGTGTCGGGCCGTCTGTACCTGGGTTGCTTCCGCATGACAAAACACCCCACAGCTAGGTGACTCACGCTAGCCGTCTGGCTTGCTCCCAGTCGTGTGGGTGAGCCAGGGCTCGGCTGGGAGGTTCTTCCGTGGCTGGTCTTGTGTGGGGTCTCACGCTGCTGCAGTCCAGTGGCCCTGGGACCGGAAGACTTGTCTGGCCTCTCAGCGGGGAGGCTGGCTGTGACGGCCGCACAGCCAGCGTAGGTCTGTACGTGCAGGGGGCCCAGGAGTTAGCACTCCAAGAGGGTAGGGGTGGGGGGCCCTGGCTGGCGCCCCACCGTGGGTGGGGCCGGCGCTGGGGCCGCGTGCCTGCAGACACGGTTCCCGGGGGCACAGAGCGCTATACTTTTCCATCCTGGTGGGGATGGAGGCAGGAGGGGACACCGGGCTCCCGGGAGGAGGGAGGGTGTGAGATACCTTAATGGAGACGCAGGAGTGAATGAAAGCCGGCGAATTGTCCGAATCGCTGTCCAGCTGCCGCAGCCTTGAGGGTGAGGAAGAGACATTGAGGGGACTGGATGACCTCCTCACGTTCTGAATGTGACAGTACAAACGAAAAAGCTCAGCACGAGGGTTGGAACGTGGAGCGGAGGAGAAATCCCCTGCAGAATTTTCCACACCATTTTCCGGGTGTGGAAAGCGAGTCTGTGGCGGGTGAACGATTAGGGAGCGTCACGGGGCGAGCCCTGGGATGGTGTTCAAACCCAGACCTGTTTTGACTCTCACATCGCCCACCGTGAGCGGACCGGGCAGCTCGAGGACCCCGAGTGTCATTGGTTAGTGACCGCAGGCCTGGGGTGGGAGTGCCTGTCCAGCAGTTAGGAAATTCCCAGTTCAAACCATCTGTGCATAAAAGGTGAACCTTTGAATTGGTTAGAATGGCGACAGAAACCTCTGGACGTGGAGAGGAGAGAGAACAGGGTGGGGGAGTGTGTGCGATTGACTGTGTTTCCTTTATGTTGGCGATGAGGAGGATGGCTGGCGTGGAGAGGGCGGAGACGTCCTGAAGATGGGAACCAACGAGAGAATTTGCCGGAAGCAGCGGGACAGTAGCTGCAGAGTCTGACCGAGGCTGGGTCTCCATGGAAAGCCCGGGCCTTTAGCTTCACCCCGAGCTTCTGTGAAAGGGCGTGGCCATGTGGGGCCCCCCTGCCCGGGCAGAATCCAGAGGACTTGGAGTTCTCTGGGTCAGGTTAATTATCTTTCTTACTCCTCCAACCTCAAACTCCAGTCAGAGCAAAATTTATTTATTTATTAATGTTTATTTATTTTCGAGAGAGCACAAGCAGAGGAGGGACGGAGAGAGAGAGGGAGATGCAGAATCGGAAGCAGGCTCTAGGCTGCGAATTGTCAGCACAGAGCCCGATGCGGGGCTCAGACTCCTGGATCGTGAGATCATGATCTGAGCCGAAGTCGGACCGTTAACCTACTGAGCCACCCAGGTGCCCCCAGAGCAGAATTTAAGGGCATTTTAGAAATTGGGAATCCAATAGGGACATTCTGGAAAATGAAAACCATCAACAAAATCTAGAAGTGGCATCGACGTTTAGATGACTGATGTGACGGGCATTCCGATGGGGCCTCACATGTATGTCATCCTCGTTGGGCCTCGAGCCTCTTGAGGGGGAAAGTGTGGTCTCAGGGTCACGGGTAAAGCAGCACATGGGCCCTGCTGCCCGGTGCACGTGTGGCGGGGTGCGAATTCAGACCCAGGCCGGTGGGACGTGGGAGCCCATTTCTTCTGAGAAGTAGGCGTTACTACAGTGTAAACCCCCGGAGGACAGGGTCCTGCCTGTCCGTGGGTCACGCCCAGCCCAGGTGTGCTGTCGACCGACCCTGCTCATGACCGTTGGCTGAGCCAGTGATAAAGCAGTGAATGGTCGTGCATTCAGGAACTTGCCAGTCCCCACGTGTGCATCACCAGCTTCCAGATTTGGAGTTCCGGTCCTTGAATTTTAGCTGCTCTTACTGTGTGGGGGGGGCCTTTCAAACACGCTCCTGGGAATCCTGGGCCGTACCTGTAGGCAGTGCAGTTAGGAACAGCAGTGTGTGAGCTTGGCGGGAACGGGAGCATCTTGTGCACCTACAGCGTGTTCTCCCTTACAGCCGTCACTAAAACCGGTCTCGTTTACTTTATTTCTTCGGACACCACAGGCTCTCAAGTACCCTTGAGTGACCTCGTGGACGTGGTGTACTCGTAAAACATCTAATGGCTTATATCACAATTGGGAAAGTACGCAGAATTTCTCGCCACCGGCTCCAGGTGAACACTGAACAGTACCTGCCGGGAGACGACCGGGGACGAGGCTGCTTTTGGTGGCCCTTTCTGTTCCTCAGTTTTCAGGCCTAGCCCAACGATCTGATGATTACTTTTCACCTAAGTAGGATGCTGCAGTAGTCGGGGAAAGAGGACAGAGCCTGGGGCGTGGAGCGTGCTCGTAGCCGCGTTCGGGTGTGTAAGCTCCCCGTTTCATTGCCACGTGGCTAGGACAGCAGATGCGTATACTTCAAGCTGCCTTGCTGTCCAGAGCGAGTAAACTTCACAGATGTGTGGAGGTAATTTCCAAAACAAAGCGTAAAAAAGAAATACTGTGTAGTCACTAGTGAGGAGGATCGTTCCGTGTAGAATATTAAATGGCCGGCCGTCGCAGGGACCTGAGCGAAGTTGAATGGTGATCCCGAGAGGCTCGGCCCTCGGCACTGGAGACTGGCGCTAGGTTTAGAAACACAGTGACATAGGCTCGCTGTAGAGAACAGTGTGCAGCGAGCAGCGGGTCAGCTGACACCGGTGTTAGGTTCGTGGTCTGGAGGAAATGGACTAAAACAGCCATATTCATCACACCTTGAACGTTATGGTAAGCAGAGTCTTCCTGATGGAATTATGTGGTCAGAGCAGTGTTTGTGACTAACATTTGCCACGGGTCTTAGGGGTGTTTTTAAGGGAGGGACAGCCCTTCTGTGGCCCATTGCCTGTCGCCCTCTGTCCTGCGTCCCTACTAAAAGCTGTGATATGTCAGGGATAGAGTGTAACTGGCAGCGTCTACAATTAACCATTTTCACTGTGCTGTTTCCTGCTGTTCAGACTGGAACTGTGTGGTTTCTTGTTTAGGATGTCTGTAATACTTGTGCTGAGTCATTTTGAGTTCAGTGAATGGGGAACAGTTCTATTTTTAGCCCCTCAAGGCCCCATGAGGGCGGCGGGCGGGGGGGAGTCCCGTGCACCTGTCCGGATCGCACCCACCGGAGAGAGACTCCGTTCCGGTTTAAATAGGACCTTCGACCACTGAGTAAAGGTCCTCGGAAATTCGTCTTCCCTTTTCATACTCTGTGAAGGACTTTTCTGGCTTCCTGTGAGAAATAGAAAAACTTTCAAGTTTCAAAGGCTTCGTAGCCAGCGATTATTTGTTTGTGCGTGTTTCCAGCATCTGTCCCTCCGGGAGCTTTGGCTCTTCTTGTTCCCCTCCCAGTTTCAGGCTCTTCCGTGCCCTGCTCGTGACCTTTAAGAGAAGACAAAGCTCTCACACTCGCTCAGGGCCGTGGCTCTGAGTGCTTTCTTGTTGCAGTCGTCAGTGTTCACTGGAGAAAAGAACACAATTGCCTTGTTTTCTCTAGACCATGAGCTCCCAGAGGAGCCGCACGCGATGTTTGTGACTTTTTTCCCCCTCTTTGTACTGAGTCCGGTACGAGATTTCCTCACGCAGATATCAAATATTGGTTTTGATGGTGACCGTTGGCCGTACGATGAGTGTTCAGGTCCGTAGGCTGCACCGTGCGTGACATGCCATACCCCTGGGAAGACCAGCCATTCTGGGCGGTACATTCATACTTTCACATTTTATCAGCAGGTGCCTTTGAATATACTTTACTAGTAAAACATGTGTACTAAATTGGATCAGCAAACCTGTAGCTTTTCAACTCTTGTGGTGTTTACGTATTGATCACGCATTTCATTTGGAACGTGGAAGGTTTGCAAGACCTTTATGTGAAAGCAAGTGTGTGCAGACACCTGAGTTTGTATACACCTGGCAGTAAACTAATGTGTGTTTTGTTCTCGCACAGAGCTCTGGCATCGAGACTCTGGTGGAGGAGCTCTGCTCCAGACTGAAAGACCTGCAGAGCAAGCAAGGTGAGCGTAGCCCCTGGAGGGCCTGCACACAGTAGGCTGTTTGCGCCCTGCACACAGCGGGCCGTTCGCACCAGGGCCGCGGGCACCAAGGGAGATGGTTGAGGACACCCTAGGATCGGCCAGAGACAGACAAGAAGAAGAAAGTCTTTGTGTTCAGTGTGTCTCCGTGGCGGCATCATGCTGTGTCTTCAGCCCTTAGTGGCTTCTGGGTCACCCTTAGCGGTCCCCTGTCGATAGGTCCCTGCTCTCAGCGGAGTCACTTAATCCACGGGCGCCCTCACGATGGAGGGATGTTTGGTGTCATGTTCACATCAAAACCCAGAGATAGGGATCGGGAGCGATATTTCCTCCTTCCCATCCTTGTCCCCCGTGAATATCTGCCCGTTGACATCAAGGCCTCCGAGGGTGTTGACAGTGATTATTTCAGATTTGACAGGAATTTCTGCCTTGACTCTTGGAGGTTTTTTGGAAGGGCAGTCTTTGAAGCTCGTTAAAGTCTTTTCGACTCGTGAATCCTCACGGCTTCTTGGGCCAACTTTTCTGCAAGCCCTTGGAGTGAAAGCTATGTGTTAAAGTTAAGGGTCTTTGTTTTTCTTGCCCTCTTCATGGCCATTTTGCTGCCCAGTGACCCTTGAGCCTTCCTTCTAAGGGCACAGTTTGTTTGTTTTTAACCTAAGGCAGTAGGTACCGTGAGCTAAGCTGAGAGTATAGCCCTCTGCTTCAGTTTTGTTGAAACACAGCCCTTGCTCAGAGATGTTGTAAGAGAGCTGATCGTAATGGATTTTCTTAACAGATTCGTATCGGTTGAGAGGAGTCAGTACAAAGTCCATGAGTGGGGAATTTAGCGAGAAAATAATTTCTGGAATTAAACAGATGGTCTCTCTCCTTCTGCTGTAATTAATAGGGGACGTCAGTCTGTCAGTCAGGTGCCTCTAGAGCCCTGTGTCAGTGACGAGGCGAACAGCTCTCACCCCTCAGCCCCCCATCAGAATTCCCTGGGGTGCTGTGAAGAAGTAGATCTTTATTGAACAAGAAGGCAAATGGGTATAGAGTTCTTTCCAAGCCACTAAGCCTATATGATTTCCGACTAAAGTTCCTTGAGAAACTTAAAAAAAAAAAAAAAAATCATTTGTTAACTGGATATAAGACCAATCTTTCTGAATTTTTGTTTCATAACAGAAGAGAAGATTCACAAAAAGTTAGAGGGGTCTCCCTCTCCAGAGGCAGAATTATCCCCTACAGCAAAGGATCAAGTGGAAATGTATGTAAGATTGTATTCATTAACAAAATGTGCATGGTTAAAAATCTGACTAATAACTGCTGTGTACTTTACCGGTTTTGTTCGTTGTCTTGTATTCAGTCTCCCATTTTATAATCCAGGAAACATGTGTTGAGCACTTACTGTGTGCGTGACACTGAGGATTCAGAGGTGAATGAGACGGTCCTGTCCTTGTCATACGTACTGAATCAGGATTTGGGAACTGGGTGAGCGAATGAAACACGGTTGTTACTGACTGTGCACCCAGTGTGCTGTCACACCAGTCCCCGGAGACGGCTGTGAGAAAGCGGGCTCGCCCTTGTTCTGCACGCAGGGAAAGCGGGCTTCCACGGCTGCGTACAAAGAAGTGTGGGCGAGTCATTGACCTTGTCAAGCTTGTTTCCTGAAGGTGCTCTGAGTCCTTTGTTTGTAGATGGCCGGTAAAATCAGCTGCTTTATAAGCAGAACTTGCTTATTGTAGAGTTTATTTGAATCTTACGAACTTGTAGAACTTTAGGTGAAAATAGCTTTTATTGGTTGATGTGGACAGGTGCTTGCTGTCCAGTGTGGCCGCCGTAAGTCACGTGTGGCTGTTTAGCACTTGAAATGTGGCCACTTCAAATTGAGATGTGCTGTAAATATAGAACTCTCACGAGATTCCAAATTTGGTATAAAAAGGAATGTAAAATATTACATTAATATTTTCAAATATCAATTATATGTTGCAAGGATGATGTTGTGGATATATTTGGTTAAGTAAACTACCTCATTGGATTCCCTTTCACCTGTGTTTTCTTGCACTTTTAATGTGACTCCTAGGAGGTTGAAAATTCTCTGTGAGGTTCACGATGTATTCCCATTAGACAGCTCTGGTAGAGACTGGAAAGGAGAATCAAACATAGGCCCTTCGAAAACATGGCCTTTTGTCACCTCACATGTGACCTTGACTGTTGCCTCCAGAGTACGGTGCCCTTGGTAGGCAACCCGACTCTAGATTCTTGCTTTGGCAGTCCGTCTTGTTCTGAGATTTGCCGGGACTACCGGCTTCTTGGCAGATTGGAAAGTCGTCTCCCTTGTTTTCAGGCCCTGTAGAAGCAGGCTCCGTGGCTCTACCTACCCTGCATTTCCAGGAGTCGCTGGCCTCCTCGGGTTTCGTGTGCACACAGGTTCCTGTGCCTCACAAGTGGTACTCCCCAGACTGCGACGTTTCTGGAACGTCAGGGCTCTGCTGTGGTCCGCTTTTCCTAATGGTTCTGGGCCGCACCAGCATCCTCTTGCCCGAACACCCGAGTACCCTTCCTCATCCGTGCCGTGTCTGACTTAATGCCGGGCATGGGTCCTGAGAAAATGTAACGGTGACAACAGTCCCATAATATTCCCGCTCCTCTCGTACATTAATTCCTTTGCTCCTCACAGCTCTGTGAGGCAGTTAAAAGTATTACGTGTGTTTCCTAGGCCGCGGAGACGTTCTGTCACATGCCTGAGGTCACACAGCTAGTCAGGGCAGCGTCAGGGTTCCCAGTCGGGGAGCGTGGCTTCAGAGCTCGTGCGCTCCGGCTTTCAAATTCCTCCCCTCCCCGTGCTCCAAAGGGCCTCGGGAGAGAAGTCCCGTGGCCTCCCTTGTACGGCTGAGAATGCAGATGGGACGGACCGCAGATAACGAGCTTCAAGTCACCAGCGTAGTAAGTCACGTGAGCGGAGACTCAGATGCAGCTATTTCTTACCAAGAGATGACTTGCTTGCCACTGCATTGTATTTGTCCTTTGTGACTTCTCAGTTAAGACCTTAAGGACGAAAACCGTCCTCTTCCCAATATTCTAAATATCCTTCGAGGGCTCGTGTCCGTGCTGAACATAAAGTTGCTCAAGACACGGGACTAAACGTAAGGCGTGTTTCTCTGTGTCGCTCGTTTTTGGCTTTAAAGTTCATGGTTCGTGGGTGACGTCAGTGGTGGCTGTTAAAACGGGAGGCGATGTCGCCTGCTGTGTCTCGTACGTCTGAGTGCCCGCCTTGAAGCCTTCCCTCTGTGTTTCAGGTACTACGAAGCGTTCCCACCGCTGTCCGAGAAGCCGGTCTGCCTGCAGGAGATCATGACCGTGTGGAACAGGTCTAAAGTCTGTTCTTACTCCAGCTCTTCGTCGTCGTCCACGGCGCCCCCCGCCAGCACAGACACGTCCTCCCCCAAAGACTGCAACAGTGAAGGCGAAGCGAGCAAGGAGAGAAGCCGCGAGGCGGGCACCACGGCGCACGAGAGAGCCCAGAGCAAGAGCAGAAGCGAGAAGGAGGACAGGTTCGGGCACGGCGCCACGGAAGAGAAGCCCGCCCTGTACAAAAAGCAGGTCCGACACAAACCTGAGGGACGGATTCGCCCTCGCTCGTGGTCCTCCGGCTCGAGTGAAGCGGGCTCAAGTTCGAGCGGTCCTCGGGGAGAACTAAAAGCCTCCGTGAAGTGCGTGAAAGTCCGACACAAGACGCGAGAAGTTCGGAACAAGAAAGGGCGGAACGGGCCGGGCAGGCTGTCGCTGAAGCCCGGCGACAAGGCCGAGCGGGCCGTCCACGCCGCCGGCAGCAGCAGCAGCGGCAGCGGTGGTGGCGGCGGCTCCGTCAAGCCGCTGTGCCGGCGCGGGAAGAGGCCCCTGAAGGACCCGGGGAGGAGAGACCCCGGGAGCGCCGAGGGAAGAGACCTGTCCCTGGAGAGCAGAAACGACAGGGAGTACAAGGAGGAGCCGCTGTGGTACACGGAGCCGATTGCCGAGTATTTCGTTCCTCTGAGCAGGAAAAGCAAACTAGAGACCACCTACCGAAACAGACCGGATGCCAGCGACCTGCCGTCGGAGGCGGTGGACGAGTTGTCAGAGTCCGTGCACGGTCTTTGTATCAGCAACAATAATATGCATAAAACATACCTCGCGGCAGGTACTTTCATTGATGGTCATTTTGTAGAAATGCCTGCGGTCATCGATGAGGATGTTGACCTCACTGGGACCTCGTTCTGTCCTCTCCCGGAGGACAACAAATATCTGGATGGTATTCATCTGTCAGAATTAACACACTTCTATGAAGTGGACATTGATCAATCCATGTTGGATCCTGGTGCCTCAGAAACCACGCAAGGAGAAAGTCGGATTTTGAATATGATTCGACAAAAAAGCCAAGAGAAAACCGATTTTGAGGCAGAATGTTGCATAGTGTTAGATGGAATGGAGTTGCAAGGGGAACGTGCAATATGGACAGATTCTACCAGCTCCGTGGGCGCCGAGGGCTTATTCCTGCAAGACCTCGGCAATCTGGCTCAGTTCTGGGAGTGCTGTTCATCCAGCTCGGGCGATGCCGACGGGGAGAGTTTTGGGGGGGATTCTCCAATCAGACTCTCCCCGATCGTGGACAGCACGGCGCTCAATCCACATTTGCTTGCTGGCAATCAGGAGCTCTTTTCAGATATTAATGAAGGATCTGGTATAAACTCTTGTTTTTCAGTGTTTGAAGTGCAATGCAGTAATTCTGTTTTACCGTTTTCTTTTGAAACACTCAACTTGGGGAATGAAAATACAGATTCTAGTGCTAATATGCTTGGGAAAACACAGTCTAGATTGCTAATATGGACCAAAAATAGTGCCTTTGAAGAAAACGAACACTGTTCTAATCTCTCAACGAGAACTTGTAGCCCATGGTCCCATTCGGAAGAGACGCGTTCGGACAACGAGACGTTAAATATTCAGTTTGAAGAGTCCACGCAGTTTAACGCAGAAGATATGAACTATGTGGTTCCTAGAGTCTCGTCAAATTATGTAGATGAAGAACTTCTAGATTTCCTGCAAGACGAAGCTTGCCAGCAAAACAGTAGAACGTTGGGAGAGATTCCCACCTTAGTCTTCAAACAAACATCGAAGCTAGAATCTGTCTGCGGTATTCAGCTGGAGCAAAAGACGGAACCCAAGACCTTGGAAACTGCGCGAGGCTGTGGCGAGAGCGGTCCACGTGGAGGCGGTTACAGCTCAGGGGTCATTAAAGACATTTGGACACAGATGGCAGACGGGGGTTCTGTCGCTACGGCGGACGTGGAGCGCACGGACGAGGAGTTGTTCCCGACGGATGTCAACAACTACTGCTGCCGCCTGGACGCCGAGGCCGAGGCGGAGACCCTCCGGGAGCCCAGCAAGGCCGTGCAGAGGTCGGAGTACCGTCTGTGGGAGGGCCAGAAGGAGAGCCCGGAGAAGAGAGCTTTCGCGTCCGGGGAGCTGTCGAAGGTGGACGGTGGCGACTACACGACACCCTCGAAACCTTGGGACGTGGCCCAGGACAAAGAGAACACCTTCATTCTCGGAGGAGTTTACGGAGAACTCAAGACCTTCAGCAGTGACGGGGAGTGGGCGGTCGTCCCGCCCGCTCCCACGAAAGGAAGCCTGCTGCAGTGCGCGGCCTCTGACGTGGTGACCATAGCAGGTACGGATGTCTTCATGACCCCGGGAAACAGTTTCGCTCCCGGTCACAGGCAGTTGTGGAAACCCTTCGTGTCGTTTGAGCAGAACGATCCGCCGAGGAGTGGGGAAAATGGATTAAATAAGGGATTTTCTTTTATCTTCCATGAAGACTTACTAGGAGCTTGTGGCAACTTGCAGGTTGAGGATCCTGGGCTTGAATATTCCTTGTCTTCCTTTGACTTAAGCAATCCGTTCTCACAAGTCCTTCACGTGGAGTGTTCATTCGAACCCGAAGGGATCGCCTCTTTCAGCCCCAGTTTTAAGCCGAAATCCATCCTGTGCTCTGATTCGGACGGCGAAGTTTTTCACCCCAGGATATGTGGCGTCGACAGAACGCAGTACAGGGCTATTCGGATCTCTCCGAGGACTCACTTCCGCCCCATTTCTGCGTCCGAGCTGTCCCCAGGAGGAGGAAGTGAGTCGGAATTTGAATCTGAGAAAGAGGAAGCAAATATTCCCCTTCCTTCTCAAGCCGATGCGTTTGAAGATCCACAGGCAGATCTCCAGCCGCTGGAAGAAGACGCGGAGAAAGAAGGCCATTACTATGGAAAATCGGAGCTCGAGTCTGGAAAATTCCTCCCCAGGTTAAAAAAGTCTGGCATGGAAAAGAGCGCTCAGACATCGCTGGATTCTCAGGAGGAATCAGCCGGGATTCTGCCGGCGGGGAAGCGGAATCGGTGTTTGGAGTGTAGCATGAATGAATCTCCGGAAATTGCTTTAGAAAGCTCAGAAGCAAATTGTAAGATAATGGCGCCATGCGAGGAAGAGATTAATAATTTTTGCAGTTGCAAAGCAGGTTGTCAGTTTCCTGCTTATGAAGATAATCCGGTTTCTTCGGGACAGCTGGGAGAGGTAGGTGTGTGCGTGTGTTGGTACGTGATGAAAGCTGTGCATTGGACTTGAGTGTGAGAACGGCCGTATCGGGCGGCGAAGGATAGGGTTCAGTTACTGGGAAATCAGCTTAGATGTCTTAAAACTTACGTTCTCATGACTTTACAGAAGGACTTAAAGTGGATTTGATGTCTATAAATTTGAGCCAGACGGGAGACGTCTTCTGCAGAGGAAAGACATTTTTAAATCACAGGATAGGAGCTTCTAGAGTGTTGTCTTGACCTGCACGTACCGTGCGTCAGGCAGAACCTCATCCTCAAGCGTTCCAGACTGGGAAGGTGATGGATCGGGAAGTGGCTCCGAACTCCGCAGAAGGCCCTTTGCCCTTTGGAAGCCGAAGCGGACGGTTTCTTTAAGTAGCGAGCGAGCGAGCCCGCCCGCCCGAGGGCCTCCGAGAGGCTGATCGGTTTGAAACTTAGTGTCACACGTAAAATAAACCACGTCTATGTCGAGTGCTCTCGCGTGGATTGTGGTACGCGTGAAAACTAGCCCACGGTCCAGATGTGGCAGAAGGGCTTCCGCAGAACCGCGATGACGTTCCTCGCTTTGTACCAAGTAACATACTCCTCGGGCTGTGTGGATTGCGTGTTGAGTCTGTCAGACGAGGTTCATTAGTAGTAGTCGTTTTGTGAAATGGGAGTCACGATCCCCTTTGTTCCTGAGAAGTGGTTCGAGGTTCAATTGAGTGCGCTAGAAATCACCCTTGAGGTAATAACCTGTTTCACAACAAAGCACAGTGATCTGCCTGTTCCCCAACCGTTATTTGGCCGTGCCTGGCCTTTTTCCAGGAGCAGCTTATTAAAAAGATAGTTGGAGGTGTTTACAAGTCCTGCCGCGAGTGGCCAGAGAGCCACTAGACGTCCTACCTGGCATCTGTCCCCGTGCCCGCTCCATCCACCTCTCCTGTGTCTAAATCCTACCTGTACCCCCCTGTACCAAGAGGCTCTCCAGACCCCACCGCCTTTTGACCCGCTCCCTGATTCCTTCCCTCTCTTTCTCCACCCCCACCAGCATCGGAAGTAATTTCTCCCTTCTCTTACTTCTCATGCACCCTGTGCCTCTTTTTCTATTGCATTTTCCTTTTTTTTGTTTCTTTTTTTTAATGCTTGCTTATTTTTGAGAGAGAGACAGAGACAGAGTGTGAGCAGGGGAGGGGCAGAGCAAGAGAAGACAGAATCGGAGGCAGGCTCCAGGCTCTGGGCTGTCAGCACGGAGTCCAGCGCGGGGCTCGAACTCCCGAGCCACGAGATCGTGACCTGACCCCGAGTTGGACAGTTAACCGACTGAGCCACCCAGGCGCCCCACATTTCCCATTTTTCGTGAGTCATGTATGTACTTTTTCTTGTTAGGTTATAAGCCCCTTACGGATATAGACTCTGCCTTCCTCCCTTGCGGGGTCAGTGCCTAGGTGGGACGTGGGTGCTCGTGATGGGAGGAAGCCCCACAGAGAGTCACTGCTCTGGTTGGCTTGCCCAGAGACCTGTAGGTGTGAACTGAATCGCATTGAAATGTTGAAATCCGAGCTGCCAAGAAAGAAAACCAACAATGTTGTTAGCCTTTATCTGTTTATTGCCCCTCTTTTTATCCTCGAATTTTCCTTTATGTACTTTGTATTTCACCTGGTTCCAGATTGGGAAGAAAGAAAAAGAGGGAAGAAGCGAGATTCTACATCATACCACTGCCATATTCCTTCGCTTTCTAGTATGTTGATGGATTTATGTGTTATCAGCATTCTGGGTTGTCTTGGAAGGCCTCTAGTAAAGTCCTCAGAGGGCCTTGCGGGGTTGTCTGCTGGTCTCCCTGCAGCCGCGGCTCTCGGCCCGGCCCCTGGGCAGAGGTGCTGGGCTGTAGAGTGGGGTCAGAGCTCCCATCATAGATTGATCTGAGGTATGGGGAGGTTGGGAGAGGGTCTGACAGGACAGCACGGGGCCAGGCTTGGAGCAGAGTGTATACCTTTCCACCGTCACACTGCCTGGTCAGTCTAGGGGAGTCCCTACGAGGGTCGTCTTCCCCCCCCTTTCCCGAGAGGGGGCAGTCTGGGAGCCCCGTTGTAAAGGTCACTGTTCAAAGGCCGCCTTTTCAGAGCAGGTGGACTAACGTGTAGGAATTCTAGGGGTACCTGGCTTGTTCAGTGGCAGAGCATCGACTTTTGATCTCAGGGTGGTGATGGTGAGTTCAAGCCCCTTGGGTTGGGTGCAGAGTTTCCTTGGAAATGACAAAATAAAACAAAAAACTTAAAATGTAGAAATTCTAATAGCATTGGTGCCCAGGAGCGTGGATTCTTTTCAAAAGTTCAGGTCAGTCAGTTTCAGCAAACATGTTTTGAATACCTGTTACCTGCTCATCGCTAAGGTAGATGTCCTGGGTGAACAGGACATCATCCTTGCCCTTGAAGAATTCAGTCTTGTTACGAAGACCAGTTTGTAAGCGGATTATTTTAATTGAAATAGGCACTTTAGTCATAGGGCTCAAACTCCGAAGGTACAGGAGGGTGGATACATACAGTGAACAGGTCCCTCCCCAGCAGCCATGAGCATGTGTTCTGGTACGTCCTTCCAGGATATTTAGGCACGTAGAAGCAAATACACATTCGCATAGATTTTTTCTTTCTTTTTTTCTTTTCACAGAAATGGCATTTTATCATAATCGCCTTTCCTTTTCGGTTCCAGTGTGTGGACAGATGTGCTGTGATTTACGTAGCCGGTTCCTTATCTTTTAGGGCATTGGGGTGAATGTAATTGTAGGTCACACGGTAGGTGGTGTGGCGGAGGTGAGCACAGGATGCCGTGGGAGCCCAGAGCAGAGCCCTCCCGGCAGCGAGGGTCCCAGAGGCTATCTGAACACCCCTGAGTGTCCCAGGGCAGCAGGGAAAGGAGCAGGGCGCTCGGGGCAGAACGGACAGCGCAAGCAAAGGTGAAAAGGCTTGGAGTTTCTCGCGTGCGTAGAGCACCTGCCAGCAGTTAGTTCGTGGCTTCTCAAGTACAGGACGGAGGTGAGGAGCAGCGGAGCGTGCCTTGGGTGTCCGTTTGTGCCTAAGTTTGTGGCGTAAATGTTCTCCTTGTTGTTCACTCGGTCGCCAACTTGGTGCCGTGCTCTTTGCAGCGCGGAGAAACAGCAGAGGGTCGAGCCGTCTCCAGGAGTTTGTGGTCCGGCCAGGAGAGGACGCCTGGCGGTCAGAGGCTCTGATGAACGGGTTGGGGGGGGGGGGGCGTCCTTGGCCCTTGGGGCATGGCACCCGGCCCACCTGTGCCACTGACCCCAGGGTCCGGGACGGAGCCCGAGTGGTTCCTGCTGACTGCCACTTGCCGTCAGTAAAGGGGAACCCGTTCTCTGTGCACACTCCGCGTCCCTCCGCGTCCCTCCGCGTCCCTCCGTTTACATTCGCTTTCCTTTCCTCTCGTGACCCGGACACCTGAGGGCTGACTGTGGCTGGGGGGCCACAGTACTCTTCCCGGAGTAGCCTCAGGACCACCAGTCACCTTTGTTCTCCCAGGCCCAGGAGCTCAGTGAGAGTTCTGGGTGGGGCCTCTACCCAGCTTCTGACTCTTAAAGAGTGGAATTTGAGTGTCCCATCTGGTGCCAGAAACGTTTCTGGTCAGGCTTTTTGGCCCAAGTACGTGTCTTCTCTGTTGTTGCACTGTTTCCTTCATTCATTGAATATTTCTCGGGAGCCCGCTCTGTCCAGGCGCCGGGCTGGGTGCTGGGGACACGCACGGAGCCCTGCCCTTGCTGGTGACATTCACCGACAGCATGTGACTGATTATAGTGTTCACTGGTGTGCCTGCGCCAGGGAGAGGGCACGTCGGGGTGCCTGGAGGACTTGCCAAGAAGTAGGTGCTCGGGGCCGGCTCTCAGCCAAGGTGTGATTTGAAGACAGGCTTGCAGATGAGAAGCCGTCTGGGGGAGAGGCAGAGCGGAGCTATGGCAGAGGCGCCCAGCCCGTCCCAGCTGTGTTCTCGCCTGCTTTCCCTTCGTCCGTTTTCCGCCAACCAGAAGTTGAATCCGTGCATACAGTGGACGTTACTTATGCAGAGCATGGTCATCTTTGCTGACCAACCCAGAAGCTGTAGATAGCAGAGTGGAAAGAGGTCGTAAGATAGTACAGGTTCATCGGATGTGTGTTCGGTGTAGCATGGAACGGCACAAAGGAGTCTGTGCCTTTGATTGACATTCAGGGGAGGAGGCAGAAAACATCCTGAAAGCATAGCAGAAACTGGGGTGACTTTAACAGTGGTTTCAGCCTGAGGGGGGGGCGGCGTGGGGAGGCAGAGGATGGCACACCAGATGATCAGGGACCTTCATGCAGGTGGCGCCTTTTCTTCAGGCCAGCAGGCATCGAGTGTCTGCTTTGAGTGTGCCTTGTGCCCGGAGGTGCACAGATCCGTGAGACATGGGCCCTGCCCGTAAGAAGCTCACTGCCTGTCCTGCTCCAGTCTAGCCCAGCCTCCTCTCCATTCATGCCGGCCCCTCCGGCTTGCTCTCCAGCTGCCTCCCGCCGGCCGCGATGAGTTCTTTCTCCCTTTCTTAACCTGGCCCCCACCCCCGCGGTCTCGAGACAGGGTTTCACGGTGAGCCATACAGCTGCCCTTGCGCGAGTCAACACCGATCCCTCCACCGCTGCCTGGGACATTTTCTTTTGCAGGTAGGAACTTGTTGCCTCCAAATCCGTCTGCTTTCAGTGGTGCTCTGGGGGTGAGGGCGACTGTGTTGCTCCCAGGTAGCACTGAGAGCTGCCATCTGGCATAGAGTAGGTGTGCCTTGGAGCGAAGGCAAGGCCCTTCCAGAAAGATCTTAGGGTTCTGTGAATTAATGTGCTGGATACAGTTAATTATCTTGAACGCTGTAGACCTTGGCTATTGCTGGCTTCATGTGCGTGAGGCTACCCCTGTGAGTTCTGCCTAGTAAGTAGTCGTACTGACCGCTAGCGTTGGAGTAAGCTGGGGGAGAACTTAGTGAAGGTTCGCTGGCCTCGCTGGGTTCTTCAGTTTCTCATTTAAGAGTGTTTCGCGAGGTTAAGCGAAAAATGAGACTTGGCGGTGTTTCCCGTTAGGTAAATAATAAAAAATCCATTATTGAATCAAAAAGTCTTAGACCCATAAAACAACTTATCTGTAAGAGAGTAACAGAATCCTGTCAGGATTGATGGTCGTTGGTTGCTAAAATAGCTCAGGTTTCAACCTTGAACACATAACAATAGCAAAACATTCTCTAAAACAGTAAAGACGCGTGCAATATTCACAGCCCTTTATTTGATTTGGTTTCACCGTCCTCTGGTCTCAGCAAAGCAGATGCTTTAGTTACAAAGACATTTAGGTTGGTAACTGCCTGTACCGTTTCTGTCCCGCATCGTCTTCAACTCCCTCCTGCCCGCGCGCGTGAAGAAGAGGGTCCTCCCTTTTCTCCAGAGCACTGCACACCAGTGGAGACTTGGGACCGCCCTGCTACTTCTCTGCATTTCCAAAATACAGAAATTTGCCTTACCTGGGGATGTTTATGGGGAATATTCTGCCTCGTAAGAGTTTTTGTTGTGTCTCTAAAAAGATTTTCATTCTACTTCCAATATAAATGCTTCTTAAGAAAAACTTCTTTTATGTGCTACGAACACTTTGGCTTTTCAAATTCACCTTGTTGGGGCGCTTGGGTTCAAGACCCACAATGGTTGTAGAGATTACTTAAAAATAGAATCTTTAAAATAAATAAATTCACCTTGTCTAGAATAGTATTAAAAACACAAAAACAAATGTTAGTTTGGGGTGTCTGGGTGGCTCAAGTCGGTTAAGCGTCCAACTCTTGATCTCAGCTCAGGTCTCGATCTCAGGGTTGTGAGTTCAGGCTCCACATTGTGCTCTGTGCTGGGCATGAAGCCTACTTGAATTTTTTTTTTTTTTTTTAACATTTATTTATTTTTGAGAGAGAGAGAGACAGAGACAGAGCATGAACGGGGGAGGGTCAGAGAGAGGGAGACACAGAATCTGAAACAGGCTCTGGGCTCTGAGCTGTCAGCACAGAGCCCGACGCGGGGCTCGAACTCACGGACCGCGAGATCATGACCTGAGCTGAAGTCAGACACATGAAGCCTACTTCAAAAAAAAAATAGTCATCATTTAAAAATCCTGGATTTATAGTTCATAGTTAATAATGCTTGAATTTTCTCTTTTATCCTGAAAGCTTGTAAACTTTTTTCTGTGTTCGTTTAACCTCAACAGTTTCCTGTATTGAACACTGATGTTCAAGGAATGAATAGAAGTCAAGAAAAACAGACTTGGTGGGAAAAAGCCTTGTACTCTCCTCTTTTTCCTGCGTCAGAGTGTGAAGGTAGGTCATTGATTCTTTCGTTCAGATTTCTAATTCGTTACAAGCAATTCTTCCACTATGAGTATCAGTCCAGAAAACATTTACCAAGAGGCTTTCGTGTAGCCAGCATTTATGAGACACTGGAGACACAGAGGTGAGAACTACAGCCTGCCCTTAGCCTGATGTGGGGAAAGGCATTCGGATACCTAAAAGCAGGACCGACCTTTGACCGCATCCGGGCAGGATCCCAGTGAATCGTGGGGCAGAAATCATCAGCTATGGGGGGATCTTCAGGAAGACGCCCAGATGGGGAAGCCGGGCAAGGGCAGAGCCCGTGAAAGAGAACCGCCTATGCTGGGGCAAGAGGATCTCTGGCAGGTGGAGGGAACAGGGACCCATCGGGCCCAGCTGGGTTGTAAGCTGAGGCTGGAGAGGCAGACAGGGAAGGAGCCCATCGGGAGGTTTGGGAGCTCTGCCGAATTAGGTCAGGTTTAACCTGCAGGAAGGGAAGGTTGTTTAAAAGATTGCGAATTGGAGGGTATCTCGGCAGAGGTGTGTTTTATTATTTAAAAAAAATTTTTTTGATTTATTAATTTTGAGAGAGTGGGGGAGGGACGCAGAGAAAGAGAGACCCAAGCAGGCTCCGCACCATCAGCACGGAGCCCGATGCGCGGCTTGAACTCACGAAACTGTGAGATCATGGCCTGAGCCGAAACCGAGAGTCTGCCACTTAACCGAGTGAGTCACCCAGGTGCCCCCAGGTGTGTGTTTAAAAACAATTCTATCAGCAGAGGGGCGCCTGGGTGGCGCAGTCGGTTAAGCGTCCGACTTCAGCCAGGTCACGATCTCGCGGTCCGTGAGTTCGAGCCCCGCGTCGGGCTCTGGGCTGATGGCTCGGAGCCTGGAGCCTGTTTCCGATTCTGTGTCTCCCTCTCTCTCTGCCCCCTCCCCCGTTCATGCTCTGTCTCTCTCTGTCCCAAAAAATAAATAAACGTTGAAAAAAAATATTAAAAAAATAAATAAAACAATTCTATCAGCAGAGCGGAGAGGGAATTGAGGAGCAGTTGAAAAGCCGAAGGTACCGACTGGGGCTCTAGGCTCCTGCAGGGGTCTGCGAGTGACAGGGTCAGTGCCTGGCCTCAGGCGTTGCTGGGGGAGTAGATGGGGGAGTGGCGAGGAGAGGTTTCGGAGAGGAGGCCGGGGCTCGGTGAAGTGAGTCTGTGAGGGCTGAGCAGCGGGGTGGGGCTGGAGGGGGCTGGCAGTGGGGGACATGGGGCAACAGCACATTTGGTCTGTGGGCTTCTCGGGTGAGCATGCCCAGAAGCTATAGAAAGTCCTGACCTGAAGTCCGGGGCGAGGTGAGGACTGTGAAGGCCGTGGGCTCGCTCCAGGGGGTGGGCGAGGCAGACTCTGGGCTCCTGTCTCGGGGGCTCCTGTCGGCTGCAGCGTCTGGTCTCCCCTGTTAGAGCTGGAAGGAGCACGTAAACCGTCTGTTAGCATTTATACGTCTGCAGGTCTGTCACGTCTCCAGTTGTTTTGTAACGAACGTGGAGCCAGTGACACCCCTCACTGGCCACCAGGCCTCGCGCGCTCCGGCGCTGAGAACGCCTGCGCTGGCCTCCCTTTGCAGCTCGGCCTCTCCGCCCGGGCGGGAGGTGGGGTGGTTGCTTCTCTCTATTCTGTGAGCCTCAAATCGCCTCCCCCAAAACTCGCCTTCCTCCTTCCCAGAGGCTCGCTGGGTCCCAAAGTGTAGGGCGAGGGCCTCAGTTTTAGCATCTTTGTTTACCTAACCGCATTTATTAAAGGCCTGTTGCCTTAGCATTAGCTAATATCTAGGTCCCCTTGTATCATTTACCAGGTGCTCTCAATCTTTTCTTATACGTAGGCCCCACAATAGCCTTGTGAGATGTCAGCCGAAGTTTTCAGATGAGGAAGCTCTAAGATTCAGGTTTGGTACTTTGTCCGAATCATGCATATTAGCCATCGAGCTCAGGCTTGCGTCCAGGCTGTCTTCCTGTGGTCCAGAAGCTTCGTTCTCTGTAGTAGCTGTCTGTACTTGGTGCCCAGGGGGGCGCCGGGGTGATGGGAGCACAAATCTGGCCTTGGCGTATGTCCATCGTGCTGCACCGGGTGAGTGTTAAGTCAGAGATGAGTTAACAGGAATACAGGCAAGGGAGGCTGAGTGCCCAGAGTAGGGCAGTGAGAGGACCACCCAGAAAGTGCCAGAGGGAGAGAGGGATGTGGCAGCAGGCAGGGCCAGGGGTCTAGGAAGACCAATCCCTCTGGGAGGTTAGGGTGATTTTTCAGACACCGAGTTCGTGCTTTTGTTAGTGTGTCAAGGGCCGTCTGCACAGCCTTAGTCTAGTTTCATGTGTTGGTAAGGAGTCTGTCCCGACTCTCAGCTGTGGGTCCTTGGTGACCAGTACAGTCCCAGGTAGGTGCCGTAAGCGATGGTCAGTGCGTGATGCTTTTTTAATTGTGAGGTGGCAAATACAGAAATTCTCAGTGGATGAGTAACGTTCACCAGGCTTTTTGAACGACCTTCCACTCACAACTGCATTAAATCCCTGCACAGTTGCCTTGTGCTGATGGTGGCGCCACAGCCGCCTTCTGTCGGCCTGTGGGGGTGGGGGTGGGGGCGGGGGCGTGCGGTCTCAGGGGCGGGTCAGCCAGGAAACCAGGCAGCCTCCGCCTTCCCCTCTGCCCCTGAAGCTTCCAGCGTGGCTGATGATTGATAATGAGCGTGTGCTGCTCTAAGGGGCTGACCTGGAAGTTTTCGGCCTCGATGGGAAGGAGCGTGGGCCGTGCCCTTTGACAGTAGGGCAGCACCAGGTGCCCTGCGGCGGGGGCGCCCGTCTGGCCTGGAGGCCCACGCCCCGCACCCTGCCTCCTGCCGGCCTTGCCGTGCGTTCACACGCGCGACCACGCGGCAAGCATGTCTTACGCGCCCTCGTGCCGGGCACTGGGAACGCAGAGGCAGACGGCCCTCCTTCCTGCTCTCCTGATTGCGGGGATGTCTGTGCAGAGACCGGAGAGGGCAGGGACACGAGCTGTGTGACAGTTGGGGCTACCTGCAGGGAGAGGTGCCCCGTGAGAAGCCCTGGCTGGTGCGGGAGCTGGATGCATTCGGCATAGCCTGGGGGGCCCGGCCAAGGGGGAACCGTGTGAGAGTGCGGTGGGGGACGGGGTCGGCCAGAAGCAAGGAGCCGGAGCACCAGGGCCCTGCACACTCTGTCCTGACAGATCTTCCCGGATGGGGGTCTCTAGAGCTCTCCCGCACTGGAGTTGAGATGTTTGGAAGGCTCATTGTAAGTGTGGGTATTATTTAGTCTTAACAGAGAAGGCCGTGCGGGGACTCCGTGGAGATAAAACAGGCTCGGGAGACAAAACGGAGCAGGACTCCAGTGCTTCCATTGCCAGACCTTTGGGCCGTGACCAGGCCTTCTGTGTCTCCATCGTTTGTAAAAGGAGGCTGTAGATCGTGCCTCCCCGAGGGGATACTTACAAGGAGTGGCGCGCGTGGCGTGGGACTGGTGCGTGGTCCTAGCCTAGAACGTGGGGACCGTCCACGTGAGGATTGTGAGGAACGTCGTCCGCGCTCAGCACAGACTCCTTTTGGACGTACAGAATTCCTAAAGCAGGACAGGAAGGATCGTGGCGGGGTTGGATGCAGCTGTCTGGGCACGTCTTCTAGTCCAGGAACTAGTCACCTTCCCTGATACACTCGCTCACCTGGTTCACGTGGTAACGAACTGGGTGGAGCGTGGGGACTGCGAGAACTTGGTCCGGTGACTGCCCAGAAGGGATGAATAAGCCCGGGTCTGGGTTCATAGCAGCGGTAGAAGGTGTCACTGAGTGCCGGTGCCACATTTGGGGCTGCACACGCGTCGTCTCTTTACCTCGCACAGGACTGCGTGAGGGTGAGGGGGGACCCCGTGTCAGAGATGCGGGAGCTGGGGCTCAAAAGAGGGACAGTGATCTGCCGTGTTACATCACAGGTGTGTGGCAGAACGGGGGATCTGCTGTGACGTCCGTCTAGTCCCAGAGCCCGAGCTGGTAACTTCGAGGTCCTGAGACAGCAGAGAGAGCTAGAGGTCATGGGGAGCATGGTGCGGCTGGTGCGGCCTCGGTGAAAGGCCGTCCCTTGGGCACAGCAGTCCTGGAGCGCTGACCCTGTCGTCCCTGGTCTCACGCACGGGGAGCGCGCCATGCCTTTGAACGCCCCGTAGCTGGACTGCAGGCGGCGCGAAACGGATGCTCGGGTGGGGGCATGAGGGGACTTGGACACAGGGATTCAAAGCCAGGGTCTGTGTCAGGCCGGCACTGTGTCTGTGCAGGGGTGCGGGGGCTGGTCTAGACAAAGACAGGAGGGCGTCAGAACCACCCGGGGGGCTTGTCGCAGCTGCTGCCTGGACCCTGGCCCAGGGCGCGGCTCAGTCGGGGTTTCACGTGGGGCCTGGGCAGACTCTGCTTCAAGCTCCAGCGTTGAGAAGCTTTGCGCTCGACGATTGCTGATGCCTTCTAATCGTAGCCTCCAGATCCATCCCCTTCTGGGGGCCACGTACCTACCCAAACCACTAGCCGCTTTTCCCTTCCCTGTTGTCCAGATACCGTAACGGCGTCCTTCAGCGTGGTGTGGACTTGGGGGGAGCAAACAAGGCTGCCGCTCTCTCTCGTCACTTCCTCCTGTCTGCTTGTTTGTCATGTGACCACGCACGGTATATCGTCGGTCTCCCTTCCCGCTCCATACGCTCTTGAGAGCTTGGCCTTGTTGGTCTTCGTCCTGTGTTCCCAGGGCCTGTCACATTACAGGTGCAAGTATGTGCTGAACGGGTGTCTCACGGTGGGATGACAGGCGTGTGTGTTATGCCAGCCTGTTTTTCAAAAACTCGATAAACGGTTTATCGGAATCTTTAAATGGGCGTAGCAGTTTGCTCGTGCACACCTGGCTGGCCAGTGGTGACCGTGTCTGCTCTTAGTGACTAGTCCAACTCGCCGAAGGGCTGGTAGACCTAACTGATCTGACTTGTCAGCAAAAAATGACACAGGAATGTATGTTTCATAACCATGTCTTAATGAAATTTCCCCCCCCCCTCTTTTCCCTTCTCCATTCAAAATGATTAAGAATGTTATACAAATGCCAAGGGAGAGAATGGTATAGAAGAGTGTCCAGATGGTAAAGACATGCCCAGTAACGAAGAGCGTCCATTAGATTTTAATAGGGTAAGTGGACTGTCCTCCTTACTAACTTACTAACGGCCACACACACCCCCCCCCCCACCCCCCTCTCTGCCACTCAGGCTGCAGCCTGAGAGCCCTGGGAGCTCCCGCCCGCCCGCCCACCGTCCCGGGTCAGCCAGCTCTGTGGGTCTGACCTTCCTCCTCCCCGTGGCCCGCAGCCCACGTCTGCATCGCCTCCCTCCTCATCTGCTTTTACCTCCAAGGCTTCCCACAGCCCCTCCTTCGCTCCCCCAGCCTGTCCTTCCCAGCGCCGCCCCGGGCATTTCTGCCCACCCCAACGAGCCCTTGGGTGGGCACCACCACAGAGCCCTCGAGCTGGGCTCCGTGGCCGGACTCCACCTTCCTGTCCCCTCCACACGCCCAGTGCAGCGCTCTGGTCTCAGCCCCGGCACCGGGCCGCGTCGGGTTTCTACGAGCTCCCGGCAGGCAGGCCGATGAACCGAAGGAAACGTGTCTGTCTTCTCCCTGTCAGCTCAGGTCCTGCGAGGACTTTCCCCCAAATCACCCACAGGCCTATGGGCCTCCCCCCACCAGTCTGTCCCACCTCAGCGAATGGCGCCCTGCCGCACCCAAGCTCAGCCGCCACTGTCCGGCCTCTGTCACCTGCACACGCCGTCCTGCCCCACCCGTCAGCTGTTGCACCTCTTTCCGCCTCGTCACCCGTGCCCCGTCTGGGTCGGGTGTCCCCTCGCTGGCCCTCGCGATGCCCGACCGGTGCCGCCACTGTGCTGTTCCGCACAGACTGGGGACCGCGTGCCTGGCCGCAAGTGCAGACCTGAGCCGTAGCCTCTGCTGGGACTCTGCGACTCACGCTCCTAACCACGGTGGCCTCTTGTCACTGCGCTCTGCCCTCGCGTGCCTCTGGCCTCGCACCCTCCCTTCTCCCTCCTTCCGCGCAGCTGTCTTTCTGCTTCCGCCTCAGGGGCCCAACCAGGCGTGGCGCTGCCCAACTGGAAATGGGGGTGTCATAAGTATGACCGGGGGGCTGCTAGTTCCCGTGGCCGGGGGGAGGGGGTGCCGCTGGTTGCCGTGACGGGGCGAGCTGGTTGCTATGGGGGTGGGGACGTTGCTAATTAAGGTGACCTGGGGGGGGGAGGGGAGTGGGGGGAAGCGGCCGGTGGGGGGTGGCCGGGGGTGGCACGTTGCCGGCTACTGTGGGGCCCGGGACGGAGGCCTTGGTAGTCGCCTCAGGGGTCGGGGACCATCGCTAGTTGCTGTGGAGGGAGGGTGCTGTTGCTGATCACTCTGTCTGAGTTGGGGGTGGGCACTGGTCGTTCCTGTGACTAGGGAAGGGCTGCCATTTGCATTTAGTGTCCTGGGGGACAGAGGTGCTGACCACCTGGTGTGTGGGGGGGGTGGGGGGACTGTCCCACACGACAGGGGGTTTGTAGGACTCCGTGTCTGAGGCCAGGCTCCCGGACAGCCTCTCGCTCTTACTCCTACGGGGCTCACTTTTCCACCTTCAGCTGAGGACTCTTTGGAAGAGCTCTTTCCCTGCCCACCTGTCTGGAGTGTCTGTGTGTGTCCTTTCTCCCCTTCCCCGTTGGCCACGTCGCCTGGTTTGTACCGCAGCGTGTGGTTACGTTGGTTGGTCTGCTTGCTGGGGGCTCTCCCCACGTGGCAGGGAGACACGGCAGGGCGGGGGTCCCCGCGCCCAGCCTCGTCCCCCCCCGTGGTCGGCACTCAGACTGCTGTTTCTGGGCAGCCCTGACATACAGAACGTTTTGTCCCAGGGACCGGACATACCGAGTTAGGGTTCTGGACGCCTTACAGATCAGGAAGGAGAGGTGGTTTTTGCTTTGAAGCAGCGAAACTCCCTGGTGTGTAACTCTCCCCGAGAAAACCATGATCTCTGTGTCAAGAGTATTTCGCGTAGCCCTTGTGAAAAAAAACCTGGCTTCTGATCTGTTGAAACTGTTCCTTTCATCCCAGGTGTCTTCTGTTTATGAAGCAAGGTGTGCAGGAGAGAGAAATGCCGGAGCAAAACCCAACGGCTTCCACAGAAAGATCTCCTCCAGCGCCAGCTCTGGCTCGGAAGGCTCCAGCTCGGACGGTGGGGGCGAGTGGGCGGACCCTGGCGAAGAGGAGCTCTTTTCTCGAACTCATCTCTAAACCTGCAGCGTAGTGCAAATTAATTCTTGAAAACGATCTGTGATGGCAAATTACCCTTTTGTGAGGCCTGTTAATCTAAAACAACAACTTAGGGTTCTTCTTCAATTAACTGATTCAGATCAGTAATTATCTTTCTCTTCTTGCTTATTTCAGAGTTGAGGACAGCTATCCTGTTGAACTTTTTTTTTTTTTTCCTCCAAGCTGTTAAATTCTTGGCTATTTGAAATAGACTAGATTGTGTTGTCAAATCCAGAATGGGTGTGCATGTGCTTGTCTAGGAGTAGCCCTGCGTTCCGCATCTTGACTGCAGCTACTGTCCTGCTGGCTGCAGCCTGGTCACTGTTACCCTAGCACCGCGGTGTCCGCAACCACTTCCGCTCTCCAGAGACTTGAGCTTTGGGACCTTTAGGCTTTGTTCTCTAAGAACTGGGACATAGACACCTACCCCTGCAATGGATCGGTGCCTTCCTGAAGGCAGGAGGGAAGCATGAGTGACTCATCCACGGTCTTCATTCAGTCAGATCTCATGTACCTTTGAAGTAGGAACCGCAAGGGTGTGCTCTTAGAGACTTACACGATACTGTGTTTTCTATCTTAGGATTTTCCTCCTCAAGTATCATGGGAGATACTATGGTGTGTGATTTCTTGCTAGCTGAAGGAGCCAAGGCTTTGGGGTGTCGGGTGGCGTACGAGGCCCAGCGGGGTAGAGAGCGTACCCCCAGCCCGTTCTTAGGTTGCAGTTACGTTTATGCCAAAACACCCCTTCCGGGTTGTTTGTGGTTTGGATCTTAGTTGCAGATTATGGTTTGCTGGTGACCTCCATTGACTCGAAGCCTCCAGAACTCTAAATGATAAACGTCTGACGTGCAGTAAAGGCCACCTCGTCACCCCGAAGAAACCTCGGCTGCTGCAGCTAGCTCCTGTTGTGGCTGTGATTTTAGTAGAGCTTAGATCTCATTTTGTGTTTGAGAGAATGTTCTGGGCAAGTTCTGTGTGGTGGGTTGGGGGCGGGGGGAGTAACAGTTTCTCCCATACCTGTGCGATTGCTTCATGGGACTCGCTTTCCGCTCTCGTGGGGACCCAGGGGTCAGTCCGTCTCACACCAGTCCCGTCCACTCATGATGGCCACTTCCTCGCGCTTTCATGCCGCCGGGCAGCAGGTGAAGCTGGGAGGAGCGGTGTTTGTAAAACCAGATTGTGTTTCCTTTTAAACTAACTCCTTACGAAAAAGACAAAACAAAACAACCTAATTTGTAGCATCAGTTTGGCACGTCTGTATCGTCAGGAATGGCAGAAAAGCGTGACACAGACGAGACCGCGTCACCACTGCCCTTGGCGGGCAGCACACGCGTGCGGTGACCGGCTGGGGGCGAAGTGGCCGAGGAATCCCTGATGTGCTTCGAGCACTGGGTGGTGTTGCCCTTCTCGTCGTTGATGACACGGGCGAGCGACCCCGAGGCTCTGGGGTCGTCCCGGTTGTGTGCGTCCTCGCTGTGAGAGACCTGATGGACGGTTGGCTCGGATCTCGCCACACGGCAGGGTTTGTTTTTATACAGCACATCTTTTGACACTTTAAAGTGGGTGTGTGTGCGTGTGTGTGCGTGTGCGCGCGCGTGTGTAAGGTTTACGTTGCTGTTATTTATTTACAGACTTTATAAGGTTTTATGTATTTTTCTTTCTTCTGGAGCTTCCTAAAAAGTGATTAGCATCTGCACTGAAATACAATTTAACAGCAAAGGCAAAAAAGAATTGGAAGTTGTAAATTCCTAAAATCACCACGGTGACGATCATTCTAGAAATCGTTGCTTAATGTAGCAGAGACCAAATAAATATATTTCAGACACAACCTTTAGCTCAGTTGATTTTGGACAGCTGCTTTTTATCAAGACAGGGCTCCAGGTGGCAAAGGTGCCGACTTCCCTTCGCACCGGTAGGAAGACCCTGCATCTTCCACGGGAGGGGGGGGGGGGGGGGGGGGGGGGGGGGGGGGAGTGGGGTTGGATTATAAGTGGGCAGGGGGATTAACAGATTATGTATTTATTTGTTTTCATAGCTAAGTGGCTGAAGCCTGGAGGCTTTCAGCAGCAGAGTTGAAAGTGTGGTTTTTAGTTTTGTGAATGGATGATCACAAAGAAAAAGCATTTTTTAAAAAGTTGGCGAAACGCTGAAACGCACTGTGGTATGAAGCGCATTGCGTACCCGTAGCACTGAAGTACCCGTTTTCCATTCCTGGGCTGAGATTGTTTCCCCGTGGTTGTATTGTTCTGATTTCACGTACACCAGAGTAACTGATTTTTTGTTTTCTTGTGGAGTTAACACCAAATAAAAAATTTGAAAAACGGTTGGCTGCCTTCGTTTATCACAGCAAAGGCTCTTTTCTGAAGAGCCGCGGCCTGTCTCAGCTCCGTGCGGCGGGAGGTGGGAAGTGGCCGGTTCACCTCGTTCAGAAGAAGCTGATTTAGCTCTTACGGGCCTCGCTCAAAGTGTTGGCCTGCTGCTTTGCTGCAGAGGGAGGGGGGTGGTCTGCTGAGAAATGGGGCCATCCCTCCTCCCTCCCCCCAACTACTACCTGAATCTTGCACAGAACACGGGTTTCTGTCTGTAGCTGTAGACAAAGCTTCGTCTTTTTGTTCCGGGGGGAGGGGGCGGGACGGGGAGTGCATATAAACATCGGTGTTTACCGTAGAAAAAGAAATCGGTGTATTTTTAAAAGTATAAGGGAAAACTCTACTTCCATCGCCGTGAGATGGTCGCTGCTAACATTTCTGCAAAAACACTTTTCTCGACGGCTGAATGTACATTTGGACATACGGAGAGAAGCTTCTAGCACAAGGTGGAACTACACTTCCCCGTGACGTGGGAAATAGGTGTTTACTCAGATGTTTTTGTGGCAGGAGTTGTAGACCTGTTTCCCTTTTTATAGCCACGTTATTCCAGTCTGTAGATACGACACTTTCCTCATTGCTCAACATTTAAGAACGTTCCTTTTATGTGTATTCCGTGTCCTGCATAGCACTTCTGCGGACACCTTCAAACCCGTGTGCCCTTGTACGCTCACTCCTGAAGGGAGACCCCCAGCCTGTGCAGCACCTGTGCCTGTCACAGCGTCCCCCGCCCCTTGTCCGTCCTGTTTCTCTCCACCTGTCAGCGGACACTCAGCTCGGGTTATTTGAGGCCAGTGCCTTTTCAGGTTGGCATTGTCTTTCATCTGGGGTGGAGGAGAATCATTTAAATTTTGTTTTATCCATTTTTTTATGGTTTCTGGGATGTGTAGGCATGTTGTTTAAATGCTTTCTTCACCTTTAAAAGAGTATAAAAATACGCTTCTGTGTTTTTCTAAAACCCATATACTTTATGTAGAATCGATTTTTTTTTTTTTTTTCCCTTAAGTAAGCTTCATGCCCCATGGTGGGGCTTGAACTCACGACCTGGACGGAGATCAAGAGTCGTGTGCTCTACCGACTGGCCCAGCCAGGCGCCCCTGTAGAGTTGATCCTTGAAGCGTGTGTATTTTATACCAGGAGTGAGGCTTAAGGATTCAGCCTCATTTTTTACCAGCTAGTTGGACGGCTGCCCCAACTCCTTTTGTTATAAAGCCCCTATCCCGTGCCCCCCCCCCGCCCTGTGCCCCATATCTGAAGTGACCCCTGGATAAGGGCCCTCTTAATGTGGAAACCTAGGTCCAACTGCTGGCTGTGTGACATTGGGTAAACTGATGCAAGTCAAATGCTTACAAAAGGGTCTCTGGCCTAGTAAGCACTCTCAGTGTTAGCTTCGGACTGACCGGTTGCTGGGATTCAGGAGACCTCCAGGATCTACCTCTTTATTTATTTATTTTTAAGTTTTTAAAATTTATTTTGAGAGGGAAAGTGAGCAGGGGGAGGGGCAGAGAGGGAGAGAGAGAATCCCAAGCAGGCTCCGCACCATCAGCGTGAAGCCCGACGCGGGACTCAAACTCCCAAACCGTGAGATCGCCACCTGAGCCGAAACCAGGAGTCAGGCGCTTAACCGACTGAGCCCCCCCAGGCGCCCTCAGGATCTGTCTACCTTAATCATGACTGCAGGGGTGTGATCTGAGCCCGCACCGGTAGAGCAGCAGTGCCCACTCGGGCGGGGAGGTGGTGCGGAGAGCGAGCTCCCCGGAAGTGCCCGAGGCAGGACTGGAGGATGTTAGCGCAGCAGGGAGGTCCCCTGTGCAGGTGTGCGGATCGTCCCCGGAAGCTGTGCCCCGTGGCCCGCGTACTTGCTTCCCGGGTGCCCGCACCTGCCAGCGGGGAGTAGGGGTGCCGGGCTGGGCCTCTGCTCCTCGCGTGACCACCCGGAGCTTGGGCTCTGTCCCCGGGACTGTGACATCACAGCCGAGTGCTGCTCACACCCAGGGCGTAAAGCCCTCTCTCAAAGTACGCCAGGCGTTCAGCCGCTGCTCTTGTGACTGATGCTGCTGCTCCTGTCACCGCAGACGCCACCCCCGGCAGACTCCGGGCACGTGGGTAAGTGGCCGTGCAGCGCCCGGTGGCCTGTGTCTGCCCAGCAGTCCAGGAACGGAAAGAAGGGCCCAGCCGGCGGGTGGATGGCATCACGGGCGGGCTCTGTTGCGGGCACAGAGGCCGGGAAGGGAGCTGCCGCCCCCAGCTTCCCGCCACCGGCCTTGCGTCACTGGTGTGGGAGAGACACGTTCAGGAGCGGTCGCCCCACCCGACTGAACGAGCGGTGACTGGTGGGGATGCCACCGCCTCACACCGGGACAGTGTCCGCCTGCCTGTGGCCTTCTTCCAGGTGTCCTGCCCTGTTAACCCCGCGAGGTGGGTGCATTTGCCCCGTTTTACAGGCGGCAAAACCGAGGCACTCGCTAAGGTCTGGCACCTGCTGAAAGGTGGAGCCAAGATTCGAACTGCGTGTAAGTGGCGACCGTAACCGTGCATCCCGTGGAGTCGGTTGTAAAGAGGAACTGGCACAGCCGGGCAGCGAGGACACAGTCTGCGAGGTGCGGTCCTGGAGCGGCCGCCCAGGAGGCTGTCGCACCCCCGTCGGTACCTCTCGGAGGGAGCTCCCGTCCCCAGGCGGCCCCTTCCTTCCCCTGCTGCATCGATGGCGGGGGGAGCAAAGCCCCGGCCTCAGGGGTGAGGTCCCACTGTCCCCCCTGCTCCGGGTGGTGTCCGGGCTGGGGGGCCCGTCAGAGCGGAGTCTGGGGTGAGGGGGCAGGCACGTGGGCGGTTGCAGCTGAGACGCGGGGCCACTTCGTGGCACAGTCCGGGGAGTTCCATCTCCGCAGGCTTCTGTCCGGCTCCACACACCCCTGTGTCGTGGGCCAGTCAGCCCCACTTCCCCCGCCGACCCCCGGGCTCCTGCTCTGATCCGACCACTGCCTCAGCCAGAGCACGTCCCCGGCGTCCGGGCCCTTCCCAGCCATTCAGGCCCGTCCTGTGCCGAGCTTGCAGTCTGCCGCAGGGTCTGGGGCCCGGGGCCTGCCTTCCTGCCCCTGTGGCCGCCCCTCCTCCACTGCCCCAGCCCCTCCTCAGACCCCCAGGCAGAGGGGAGACCCCCCGTGGGAACCTGACCCACCGTGGGCCTGGCCTGGTGGGGGAGCCTGAGGCCGCTGGCCCAGCCAGGGGACGGCTTCTTCCTTTGCTGCCTTCTCCCTTTGCAGAAGAGGAAGGGGCATTGAAGGAGGCCTGGCCCGGGTGCCCTAAATCCCAGGCTCCTCCCCACGGCTCCCTGGGGGTCATCGAGGGCCTCGGGCAAGTCCTGACCCCCTTCCGGGCTTGACTCCAGCTCCTCTCACAGGCCAGGGGCCCCAACTCCTGCTGGTCACAAATGTCAACCGTGTCCACCACATCCTCCTGCAAACGCACGCTGCCAGCCAGCGATTAAGGGCAGCCTGGTGCCCTGGCTCCCTGCTAGGCCACCTGACGCGCCTCCGCTCTCAGGCCTCGCTCCGGCCCAGTGATCACGGACCGGGGAAATGCTCAGAGACGTGCGGGACCCCCAACTGTCAGTGGCAGACCTGGCCCTTGGCTCCTCGCTGCCCTGCGCTCCTGATCTGGTCGCTACCCCCCAGCCCCCACCTGCAAGCCCTCGATACCCCACCCTGGGGAGCCCGCAGGCACCTGACAGCCCCCTCCCGGCCG